AGTGAAATCCTATGATCAGCCTTCTCGCATTGTTGGGGAGAGCTCAACTTCTATATTTCCAATTAGCATCCCTATTAGTAATTATTGCATACTTGCTGTACTCTCACTCTCATGTGTTGTGTGTTTCCCCTTGACGGAAATGAGTTACAATTTTGTTGTCGGCCCTTGTAGATAAGTATATACTAGTTGGATGACAGGAGAGTGTGATTATTTCCTTTTTAAGCCAACCAAACTAAATAATTGTTTCGTACATATTGGATGTGTTTTTTTTGTCTTTTTTTCTTTGCGACCTTAATCAGGATTTCTTGGTGCCAGAATGAGTCATCATTATTACTGTAACCGTCCCGAGACGCACGTGGTGCTTTCTGGCACCATATGCACGCCTATTTCTATCGCTGATTAGGTTTCGTTTGCCTGGTCTTTGTTCATCTCACAATATTCCATCCACTCTTACGTAGCCATCCAGGTGCCTGTCAGCATTTTCACGGGAATAAGGCACAAAGAAAGCAGTTCCAGAATGAGTTTTCAAATTTGGATAAGTAAAAATTCATGCGATTCTCTTTCCATTTTTTTCTTCCAAAAAAATGACACGTCACTTCCAAACACGACTCCCCCCCTTCCATTTTAATCCTTTTTTTCCTTTGGAGCCCCGAAACCGGCTCTCAGAGATTTGCGCGCGTCCTTCTTCGCATGTGATTTTCTTCGATGACTTGGCTAATCGCTGTGTCCGCGCGTGCGCGCGCGCGTACGCCTCATTTGACCAAGTAATTATGAAACACGCGCACTTCTCCAGGTCCATATGCTTTTTGTTGGTAAAATGTTAAGATGGAAATTGTATTTTGAACACAACTTTCAAGTTTCCATGGCGACGTAATGAGATTTGATACGCTTATTAAATATCAAACGAAATTTCTTCGCTGATTTTGGCCTGAATGGCTAACTTGTGAAATTGACCCAGGGGACCACAATAACTACCTTTGCTGTTCGATATTGATTGTGTGTTTACCTTGTGGACGGGTTTAAATGTGAAATTAATGATTGGGAGCTCACAGTCGAATCATTACGGAGCTTTCTTAAATTGATACATAATGGCAATCAATATCTTGAGCAACATCTCTACCTCTCATGAGCCTCGCAAAGCCGTTTAGTTAGATGCGAATTGGATGCAAGTTTTGAGCAACTCTGAAAATGGAGACTTCTTAGCGCTTCCACTCCCGCCGCAAACGGTTATAAAAGACCGACTTATGCGCTTTAGGTTATAAGTGGTCATGGTCACCTAGTGAAGAACTTTTGAGCTAATAATATGGCCTTTTTACGGTGATAGATTTTATCACTGATTTTCCCAGTGAAGTTAAACAGAAAGATTTTGTTTGTAAAGTGCTGAAAGTGTCAAGGTCTGTTATCGTAGGTAAGAAACTTGTGATAGCACGTGCCACTATCCATGGTTGAATTGGATCAGTTGAATAGGCAGGCCGCCAAGCCTAATGCCAGTTCCTGTGGCAGTAGTAGTTAGGCCACGATTTTCCGCCTTCCCTTACGCCAGTTCCTCTATTTGTCTTTCTTTAAGCCCAGAATATTGTAAAGACCTGTAGGGTGGAGGATTAGTCATCCATTTCTCTGACCCTTGACATTTTAATGCCCATCCTTCAAACTCTTTTTTTTTCTACAAGAAACGCTTTTATTTTCAATCCCTCTCCACTGAAGACCCAGAGAGAGAGAGAGAGAGATCAGGTATTGACCGTATCACAGTTTTATAAAGATGCCAAATGTGAGGAATTAGTGATTAACTTAGGAGAAGGGGGCCAGGGGAAGAATTTAATTTGTCAATAATCTGGGTGTCTGAGTGGTCGACTTCTCTTAACTCGATTTGCTGAACACCTACTTGATTAAATTTAAGTGCCAAAAGCCGCCGCAATAGTGACTATCGAATTACTTCGCCTCACGTTGGGGGTGACTTTAAGTTTGCTTGGAATTTTGTGCCAAGTGGTAATCTGTCTGTCTCCACGTAGTAGTGGATACGTAACTCCCCGCTTTTGAAACCTGAAATCTTCTAGACCACTCAATACCTCTTTATGGAGCTTGTAGTCGCAAGGTTGGCCTAAAATTTGTTGACGGTACTTATAGCAATCTGATCATCTACTTGTGACGTTATCCGCCAATTTTGCACCCCAAACATCTGATTCCCAATATCCCATGTGTAAAACTTGCTTTTCATCTTTATAGCGCGTTGGTTTCAACAATATTTGCCGAGAAAAAACTAATCATTGTTACGACTGGCAAAAGCCGTATTATATTTATGCCTCATGCAATGTGTATGCAAAAAATTCATATATCCATATTTGGGCTGTACTAATAGTTTCATAATTATTATTCATTCATAAATTTATAGTTTTTTTTAGTTAATTTTAATTTCGAACGTTATGTTGCGACCTGTAGTCCTGGTGTAACAGCCTAGAAAGTGGGGACTAGTTTTATTAGCATCACATTTACTGCTAACGTGTCCTTAGTGTAAAGATTCCGAGTCGATGCACTTTTGGTTGATGAGCAATATATACTCGGGGTCGCATGCCTACAAGGCTACCCGGGCAAGTAGTCCATTCAAATCCTCTTCTTCATTTGGGGTTCAGTGTCATTAATTGCATTCTCCCCATTATGGGTATTTTTCAAACGTAAGTATAGTGACAGTCTGTCAGTCTCTCGTCTTCTCTCTCTAAGTTTGAGTGGACTATGCCAGAGCAATAGAACTGAATCTCCCCTCAGTAATTCAACATGCAGGAACCGTACTTGCATGTGTTAACAGTGAGGAAGATGCACAATTTACCCTCACAACAATCTATTAGTTGAATCGGACCCTTAGCGTATTCCAATCTATTTTCTCCTAAGATTAGCATTCAGCATGAGTTGGATTTGTTTTAACGCACATGCATCATCTCAAAAGTGAAGAGGTAACTATTGTTTTATTTTTACTGCCCTGGGGTGTACGATAGACTTACCTCCACGCGGTGCACCCTGGCCAACGTAAACTCATACGACAAAAAGTCTAAACCGGCAGTTGACTTCTCACTTCAAACTACCATCACCCCATCTGTATGTCATATTCGACCCCTTTTACAGTACTCATCTTACCTTTTTCCCTACCTTTGTGTCTGTCTGTCTCTCTTACATCTTTGAATCACTCGTCTGTTCCCCCCTCTCCGCTTTTTTTCACTTAAGTGTTCCTCCTCCCCTCTGTGAAGCCTTGAAGTCAGCTAAAGAGCTAATGATAAGTGTCATAAAGCCTGCCATTTGAAATTAATTTCTGCTGCTCTTTTAACAGTTCGTTGGGTGATAAAAAAACTACCTACCGCATTCATCTGTCAGCGATAATGGGAAGGCACTTATATCACAGATTAACTACCGCTAATTTTGTTGAACATTACCCCTACGTCTCTCCAAGTTATAAGTCTTTGACCTTTTTTGTGTAATTAACGCATTCCCCTGATATTCTACTCAGACTGTCATTATGGACTACTGTTCTTTAAATAATTTTAAACAGATGCTTAGCGACACAGCCATTCTTTTGTTACCAAAATTGGGTAGCTTCTTCACACCCTCTACACTTCTAATTTGGAGCTGGTATCTGAGTGACTTGGGCTTATTACTCTTAGCCATCCCCTGTTTCAAGTTAGCAGCAGAATGGTGCTTCTGTGAATGGTACTATTTAGACCTCTCTCTCTTATTCATCACAGTTTGGCAATTTCTTTTCTTCTTGAAATTTTGCTCTACTGTGAGTGCTTTTGGCATTGCTTGCTTTCTGTTAGTTGATTTTTGTCTTCTTTTTTTGTTTCACCCTTTTTCTTGTTTGAGTGGCCGTGTCCACAGCCCCCCCCCAAAAAAGGCCACTTTTTTTAAATCATGTGATTCCACTTTAAGGTCAGTGGAGGTGGTATTAAAATCGGTTTGTTATTTTGCACCGTCCCTTGTGTAAAAGAGGTGTAAATTTAAAATCAAGTTCCAATATCTCTACCATCGTAACCCCTCGCCTAGATACACGTTGCAAATAGACGTTGTTTTGATACTAAACTGTCGTTTGTGGAACCCACCCCACTCCCCCCCCCCTCTTCTGGTTACTAGTCGAAATACACCGGGTTAGTAGTCGAAACTTTTTTTGTGAGCCTAAATGGTTACCTGCAAATGCTATGGCCATAGTTTTAATGTACACTTTCTTAGCGGAATGTGGATATCCGAGAATACACACTAAAGCTTACTTTTAAGAGATGGAGGGGGGGGGGGAGGGCGGGGGTGGGGGAGT